TTCTAAGGAATATTCCCACCTTGGCTCCCAAAAGTTGCTGTTGATTATGGGTGTCAGCCATTGTGACTGGGCAAGAGCCTTTTCCTTTAAGCTAGGAAAGTTAAAGCGAGGCCGGGCGACAGGTGGGCTCACGCCTGTAATCCCAGCACTTTTGGGAGGCTGAGGCAGGGTGGATCACCTGAGGGTCAGGAGTTCAAGACCAGCCCGGCACAACATGGTGAAACCCTGTCTCTAGTAAGAACTACAAAAACTAGCTGGGCGTTGGATGGTGTGGAGGGCACCTGTAATCCCAGCTACGTGGGCATGGCTGAGGCAGAGAACTTCTTGAGCCTGGGAGGGCAGAAGTTGCAGTGACTCTGAGACTGCACCATTTCACTCCCAGATTGGCCAACAAGGAGCGAAACTCCATCTCAAAAAAAAAAAAAAAAAAAGAAAAGAAAAAAGAAAATACAGTAACAGGATAACTAAACCTAACAGACAGAAGAAACAACAGGAAGTTCTCACCATCTGGAATATGTAGTATCAGCCAGTCCTGTTTTGCACAGAAATGAATAACATGGCAGAGACTGAGGGTTTTTCCTGTTCCCTTCTCTCCATCTAAAGTATGTGTTGTTAAAGAAAACATGACTAGAAGGATCATTTGTACTGTGAACAGTAGTTACGCTTTGTTTTGTTTTGTTTTTTTTCAGACAGGGTCTCACTCTGTCTCCCAGGCTGGAGTGAAGTGGCTTGATATCAGCTCACAGCAACCTCCACTTCCCGGGTTCAAGCGATTCTCCTGCCTCAGCTTCCCAAGTAGCTGGGATTACAGGTGCATGCTACCACACCCGGCTAATTTTTTGCATTTTTAGTAAATGCGGGGTTTCGCTATGTTGGCCAGGCAGGTCTTGAACTCCTGACTTCAGGTGATACGCCTGCTTCGGCTTCCCAAACTCCTGGGATTACAGGTGTGAGCCACAGTGCCTGGCCTCCATAGTACTTTTTTTCATTTCTTCTTTTCCCTTATTTGAGGGGAGAAAGCATTGGTTTATGAGGGTCCAAGCAGGCAGGAAAGGATACACAGAAGATATCGTACAGCCGGATAAGCAAAATTGGTGTTTTTCAGGTAATGCAGAAGTTCTAGGGCTGGTTTCCTTACCATCAGGCAAGCTTCACTGAGTGTCTTCACCTGATAAAATAGGAAAGAAGGAAGGAGTGGGTGGGGTGTGGAATTTCTAGCCAGTTCTTGGTATACATACTCTGCCAAAAGTGGCAACCAAGACCATCAAATTGCATGCCTCTAATTTATTCGGTTAGGAGAAGCTGGGTTGGTACTGAGTTTGAAAATCTATCCATATAACTTAGCTAAAAACTGAAATACATTATTCCGCACTAAGTAACATGATAGTCAGCTTTTGATTATTCCTGTTACTGAAGCATATATTCTATCGCAGCTAAAATCTACAAATAATTGATATGTCTCATGACAAAATTATGTATACCACTTAGGGCCACTGTAAATATGGAAAGCATATAGAAAAATGCTTAAAATTTCTGACACAAGTTAATAATTCAATAAACATTAACTTTTTTTTTTTTTTTTGAGACGGAGTTTCACTCTTGTTGCTCAGGCTGGAATGCAATGGCACAATCTCGGCTCACCACAACCTCTGCCTCCCGGTTCAAGTGATTCTCCCACCTCAGCCTCCCGAGTAGCTGGGATTACAGGCATGCATCACCACGCCTGGCTATTTTGTATTTTTAGTACAGATGGAGTTTCTCAATATTGGTCAGGCTGGTCTCAAACTCCCGACCTCAGGTGATCCCCCGCCTCGGCCTCCCTAAGTGCAGGGATTACAGGCGTGAGCCAGTGCGCCCGGCCTAAAATTTATTTTTAGTTAATTTTTTTTTTGAGACGGAGTCTCGCTTTGTCACCCAGGCTGGAGTGCGGTGGCGTGATCTTGGCTCACTGCAACCTCTGCCTCCTGGGTTCAAGCAATTCTCCCGCCTCAGCCTCCTCAGTAGCTGGGATTACAGGTGCCGCAACCACGCCAGGCTGATTTTTGTAATTTTAGTAGAGACAGGGTTTCACCATGTTGGTCAGGCTGGTCTCGAACTCCTGACCTCATGATCCGCCCACCTAGGTCTCCCAAGGTGCTGGGATTATAGGTATGAGCCACCGTGCCTGGCCTAAAATTTATTTTTATTACTTTAACCATTTACTTTTTTCTCTAGAACTAAATACATGGCAGCTCAGGAGCAGGTGTAACCAGCTGCCCCCACAACTCTAAGGCCATCCATACCTCACACCCCCAGCATACTAACCTTTCAGAGTTTATGTGTTCATTCCCCTTTTGCTACCAGAATACTTTGGCAGGAAATTTGGGAAGCACTAATGTGTGTGAAACTGATTTGCAAAGAAAATATTAAAATATGTCTACTAATAAGAATAAATATCTAACAAATACTATTTGTAAGCATAACTAAAATAGTGTTAATTTTTTTATTTTTTTGAGACGGAGTCTCGCTCTGTCGCACAGACTGGAGTGCAGTGACACGATCTCAGCTCGCTGCAAGCTCTGCCTCCCGGGGTCAAGCGTTTTTCCTGCTTCAGTCTCACAAGTAGCTGTGACTACAGGCGTGCACCACCATGCCCAGCTAATTTTTGTATTTTTAGTAGAGACGGAGTTTCACCATGTTTGGCCAGGCTTGTCTTGAACTCCTGGCCTTAAGTAATCTGCTCACCTCGACTTCCCAAAGTGCTGGGATTACAGGCGTGAGCCACTGTACCCAGCCAGTGTTGATATTTTTAAAAGAAATCCTAACAAAACAATTGAATTGGTGTAGGATTTGACAGGCGATTCCAAACTTAATGGAAGGTTCAATGTTCAAAAAAACACGATACAGGTATTAAAACAAATGTCGGCTGGGCGTGGTGGCTCACGCCTGTAATCCCAGCACTTTGGGAGGCCAAGGCAAGTGGATCACCTGAGGTTAGTAGTTGGAGAGCAGCCTGGCCAATATGGCAAATCCCCATCTCTACTAAAAATATAAAAATTAGCCAGGCGTGGTGGCGAGCACCTGTAATCCCAGCTCCTTGGGAGGCTGAGGTAGGAGAATCCCTTGAACTCAGGAGGCGGAGGTTGCAGTGAGCTGAGATCACATCACTGCATTCCAGCCTGGGTGACAAAAGTGAAACTCTGTTTAAAAAAAAAAAAAAAAAAAGGCACATCAGGGCTGAGAGCTGTTGCGCTCACACCTGAATCCCAGCACTTGAATACAAAGACAGGAGGATCACTTGAGCCCAGGAGGTCAGAGATGTAGAGTATGCTATGGTCCACAGCCACTGTACTCCAGCCTGGTTGTCAGAGTGAGCACAACCAGGCCGTCTGTAATTAAAATAATAATAATAAAATAAAAGTCAGCTACTCTAGCAACACTGTCCGTCAGTTAGGTCTGTTCCAAAGAAGCAGTATTAAAAAAAAAAATGTCATCTAGTTAGGCAGTATGACAATGCTAATATCCACAATAAGCGGTGAGGAAGTGGGCCTCACGTAAATGAAAATTATGAAAAGAATGTTGGCCGGCGCCGGTGGCTCAAGCCTGTAATGCCCAGCACTTTGGGGAGGCCGAGACGGGCGGATCACGAGGTCAGGGAGATCGAGACCATCCTGGCTAACATGGTGAAACCCGTCTCTACTAAAAAATACAAAAAACTACACCGGCGGCGAGGTGGCGGGCGCCTGTAGTCCCAGCTACTCCGGAGGCTGAGCCAGGAGAATGGCGTAAACCCAGGAGTGGAGCTTGCAGTGAGCTGAGATCCCGCACTGCACTCCAGCCGGGCTACAGAGCAAGACTCCGTCTCAAAAAAAAAAAAAAAAAAAAAAGAAAAGAATGTGTTAAGTTCTTCCAGAGCATTGTTGGTTAACCCAGTCTGAAAACAACTTCAAATAGTTAATTAAAGACAGTACCTCACAACCCTGAAGCTAAATCAATATTGTACTTGAATGTCTTGAACAGTTTAAAGTGCCACTGCAGATGCTTTCTTCTGGTTGTGTCCCATTTCCAATCTTAACAACAACAACAAAAATTTTTTTTAATTAAAATTGTTTTTTTGGAGACAGGGTCTCACTCTGTTGCCCAAGTTGGAGTGCCGTGGCACTATCGTAGCTCACTGTAGCCTGAACTCCTGGGCTCAAACCATCCTCCTGCCTCAGCCTCCTAAGGAGCTACCTCAAGGAGCTACCACATAGGACTAAAAGGTTTTTTTTTTGAGTGAGCAACAGCAAGAATTTATTGTGAAGAGGAAAAGAACAAAGCTTCCACAGTGTGGAAGGGGACCCCAGCAGGTTGCCCGTGTTTTTCTTTCTAAATAAAGATACAGTCTCATTATATTGCCCAGCTGGTCTTAAACTCCTGCACTCAAACGATCGTCCCACCTTCACCTCCCAAAGTGCTGAGACTACAGGCATAAACTACCTTGCCTGGCCTGTTATAGCTTACTTTGCTTGAGATAAGGTCTCACTCTGTTACCCAGGCTGGGGTACAGTGGTGCAATCACAGCTTATTGATCACCTCCTGAGCTCAAGTGATCCTCCAACCTCAGCCACCCGAGGAGCTGTGACTACAGGTGTGCACCATGTCCAGCTAATTTTTTATTTTTAATTTTTGTAGAGACAGGTCTCCCTATGTTGCCCAGACTGGTCTCGAACTCCTGGGCTCAAGTGATCCCTCCACCTTGGCCTCCCAAAGTGCAGCTGGGATTACAGGCATGAGCCATAGCGCCCGACCTGTTATGCCCTTATGATTCATCTAATTTCCTGAAATAAACCACACTAAAGAAATAGGATCCTCTGGCTCGCATGCTAAAACTCACCTGCACAGGCAAGGTTGATAACATTTTCACAAAATACATGGGAGAATAAAAACCAATGCATCTAATCAAAATATCGCTTCTATTTAGCTCAGGAGTATATTAGGATTTTGCTTTTGTGCAGCATATTAACTATTTTCATGATATTTTGCCAAGGCAAATTTTAAGTTCATTTAAAACAATTATTTGATGCTGAAATTACTGGAATCTTCTTGGGCTATACAAGGAGGAAAACATCAATACTGTTTAAACATTAGCTTAAAGTAATTGTACTAGTCACAAAAGGTAATCAACAGATGAATTTCTGTTTTTCAGATTAAATTTCATCTTTTATAATTTTCTTCTCATTTAGCCCAACCCCTTTGCTAGCAGCAGCTTGTATTCTGGGCTCCCCCCAGTACCATTCCCTGTCTTGAGCACCTGCATCACAAAGCGAGGAGGAAGGCCATGGGGAAATACAGTCTTCAAATCCTGGGGGGAGATGTTGTAGTGCTGACCCTCGTGCTGATCCCCATGCTTGGCCTAGGAAATAAGAGTGCAAACAGGTATAACAGTGACAAAGTGACCAAGACTTTCTTTTTGTCTTCTTATCTGTGTGTGTGTGTGTGTGTGTATATATATATATACTTTTTTTTTTTTTGAGATGGAGTCTCGCTCTGTCGCCCAGGCTGGTGAGTGCAGTGGCTGATCTCAGCCTCACTGCAAGCTCGCCTCCCAGGTTCAAGCAATTCTCCTGCCTCAGCGTTCCCAAGTAGCTGGAACTACAGGCGCTGCCACCACACCTGCTAATTGTTTGTATTTTAGTAAGAGAAGGTTTCACCGTGTTAGCCAGGATGGTCTCGATCTCCTGACCTCGGTGATCCACCCGCGCTGGGCCCCCAAAGTGCGGATTACAGGCATGAGCCACCGCGCCCAGCTTAAATTTTTTTTTTAAGATGGAGTTTTCCTTTGTCACCCAGGTAGGAGTGCAAAGGCGTGGCGATCTTAGCTCACTGCAACCTCCGCCTCCCAGGTACACCAATTCTCTGCTGCCTAAGCCTCCCAGTAGCGTGGCATTACGACATGTGCCACCACACCGGCTAATTTTTAATTTTTAGTAGAGACGGGTTCACCAACGTTGGCCAGGCTAGTCTTAAACTCCTGACCTCAGGTGATCCCTGCCTCACCCCCCAAATGCTGCGATTACAGGGTGACCACCTTGCCCAGTCTTGTCGTCTTTTTTTTTTTTTTTGAGATGGAGTCTTGCTCTGTCACCCAGGCGGGAGTGCAAAGGCGCGATCTTAGCTCACTGCCAACTCCGCCTCCAGGTTCCACCGATTCTCCTGCTCAGCCTCCCGAGCAGCTGGGACTACAGGCAGCGCCACCACGCCCAGCTAATTTTGAATTTAGGAGAGATGGGGTTCACCATGTTTGACCAGAATGGTCTCAATCTCTTGACCTATGATCCCACTCACCTTGACTCCCAAAGTGCTGGGATACAGCGTGAGATACAGTGCCTAGCCCTCAGCCCTGTGGTCTTCTTATCTTGACCAACACTTTGAAATGGAATCAAAGCCTGCTATTCACTCATTGTCTTATGTATTCTTTTTTTTTTTTTTTTTGAAGATGCATTTCACCTCGTTTGCCCAGGCTAAAGTGCCAATGGTGCGACCGTGCTCACCACAACCTCCGCCTCCCAGGTTCAAGCAATTCTACTGCCTAAGCCTCCCAAGTAGCTAGGATCACAGCATGTGCCACCACACCTGGCTAATTTTGTATTTTAGTAAGAGACAGGTTTTCCATGTGGACAGTCGTCTTCAAGTGATCTACCTTCGCCTTGGCTTCCCGAAGTGCTGGGATTACAGGTGTGAGCCACTGCACCCGCCTTTATGTCTGTTTTTTTCTTTTTTTTTTTTTTGAGACAAGATCTTGCTCGGTTTACCAGGATGGAGTATGGTGGTGCAATCACGGCTCACTGAGGCCTCCAATTCCCAGGCTCAAGAGATCCTCCTGCCTCAGCCTCACGAGTAGCTGGGACCACAGGTGTGCACCACTACACCTGGCTAACTTCTTGTCTTTTTTGGTAGAGATGAGGTCTTGCTATGTTGCCCAGGTTGGTCTTGAACTCCTGAACTCCAGTGATCCTCCCGCTTTAGCCTCTCAGTGTTGGGATTACAGGCGTGAGCCACTGCGCCCTGGACCACTCATCTCTTAAAGCTGGAAAAGATATCTCCCATTGTTTTGAGAAAGCCTGTTGCCCAGACTGGAGTGCAGTGGCCTGATCTCAGCTGACTGTAGCCTTGACCTCTTCGGCTCAAGTGATCCTTGTACCTAAACCTCTCCAGTAGCTGGGACTACAGGCGCATGCCACTATGCACTGCTAATTGAAAAACTTTTGGCCGAGTGCAGTGGCTCATGCCTGTCATCCCAGCACTATGGGAGGCCAAGGTCGGTGGATCATGAGGTCAGGAGTTCAAGACCAGCCTGGCCAAGAGGGTGAAAGCCCGTCTCTACAAAAAATACAAATAATTAGCCAGGCATGGTGGCAGGTGCCTGTAATCCCAGCTACTCGGGAGGCTGAGGCACAGAACTGCTTGAACCCGGGAGGTGGAGGATGCAGTGAGCCATGATCATGCCACCGTACTCCAGCCTGGGTGACAGAGCAAGGCTCCATCTAAAAAAAAGAAAAAGAAAAAAAAAATTTTTTTGGTTGGGTGCAGTGGCTCACGTCTGTAATCCCAGCACTTTAGGAAGCTGAGGTGGGTGGATTGCCTGAGGTCAGGAGTTTAAGACCAGCCTGGCCAACATGGTGAAACCCAATCTGTACTAAAAATACAAAACTTAGCCAGGCGTGGTGATGGGTACCTGTAATCACAGTTACTTGGGAGGCTGAGACAGGAAAATCACTTAAACCCGGGAGGTGGAGGCTGCAGTGAGATGAGACCACGCCATTGCACTCCAGCCTGGGCAAGAAGAGTAAAACTCTGTCTCGAAAAAAAAAAAAAAATTGTTTAGAGTTAGGGTCTTGCCATGTTGCCTAGGCTAGTCTAGAACTCCTAAGCTCAAGTGATCCTCCCGCCTAGGCCTCCCAAAGTGCAGGGACTGCAGGCATAAGCTACTGTGCCCATCCTCATTTATCTTAGCCAAGAATGCTGATTGCTGTCCCCAAACCCAGTATGTATATAAAAGTGGTGGCCCAAATAATGAAGCCAATTGCTCATCAAAGTAAACCATAGATGTAGGGGTAGCAAAGACAATTCTTGCCATCTGGATTCTTCTGTGCTGTGTATAGAGATGCCCCAGTCATGTGACAAGATCATCTGCATGCTGCTGTTTCCATAGAAACCCCAGAGGAACTGGCAGATAAAAGGACTACAATTACAGAGAAAGCTGAAAGACACTTCAGTGGCTTGATTCATTTATTCTACTTCATTTTGTGTTTGTCAAAATAGGTGAAAGGTATATATATATTGGGATTACAGGCATGAGCCACCTCACCCAGCCATATATATATACTTTTTAAGACAGAGCCTTGCTCTCCTGCCCAGGCTGGAGTGCAGTGGCGCAATCTTGGCTCACTGCAATTTCTGTCTCCTCGGTTCAAGCGATTCTCCTGCCTCAGCCTCCTAAGTAGCTGGGATTACAGGTGCCCGCCACCACAGCCAGCTAATTTCAGTATTTTTAGTAGAGACAGGCTTTCGTCATGTTGGCCAGGCTGGTCTAGAACTGACCTCAAGTGATCCTCCTGCCTTGGCCTCCCAAAGTGCTAGGATGATAGTCATGAGCCACCCCGCATGGCCAAAGGCTAGAGATATATTTAAAACACACCCTGCTGAGATCATGTTTTGAGTAATGGGTGATTCTTTTTTTCCTTCCACACAGACTGTATTAAGATGGGAAGACTCAGAGGGTAGGGGCAGGGAAGGAAACTACTGGTTCTTCACATTACAGCACAGACCACAAATTAATTTCATTTATGAGAGGTAGCAACAAAAAGAAATCAATATCCAGTCTAATGGGGAACTGGACTAGAAAATGCAACACTAGATACTGCTGGAATCCTGGCTTCTGCAGACAAAATTCATTTTAAATGCTGCTCTTCTCATAACAAATCAAGTTAGTTCCCTCTCCGGACCCTAGGAAATCCACTTACAAAACTGCAAAATAGCACCAGATTGGTTATTAGAAAAACTGGGTTCTGAACCTACCCTGGTAGAAAATTGTGGGCAAGTAGTTTAATTTCTTTAGTATTCTCCATACCAGAGGTTGTTAAGTTATGGCTGGACACCTGCTTTGTAAACAGAGTTTTACTGGTACATGTTTACACCCATTTGTTTATGGCAGAGTTGAGTACTTGTGACAGATCATCCCAGTCCATTGGCCTAAAATATTCACTACATAGTCCTTTAAGAAAAGGTCTGTCACCCAACACATAATATAAGCAATAATAATTGGTAAACTTACCCTGTAAGAAATTAAACTTAGTAAGTATTGAGTATTCGACAACTCTATGCTCAGCAAAATCCGTGAAACTAGGTGAATTCACTAGTCGGGATTACATGGGAACAGATATGGATGGAGCTGGCCAGCGTACGTTACCACAGTATCAGACAGGGACAGGGAGAATCTACGTACGTTACCACAGTATCAGACAGGGACAGAGTGCTATCTCAGGTGCAGTATCTGAGTAAATGCAAATCTACTAAGCTTCTTGCAGTTTCAGTTTTCCTATGCAAAATGAGGATAGGAACACAAATCATAAGCCCTGAGAAACCCCATATACACATTAGTAACTTACCGGGTCATTCTCAATGGTGCGGGAAATAGCTCTGGGACTCTCAACTGGAACCTGGTTATCTAGGTGAGCAGCAATGTTTTGGCTTGCCTGGGTCCCCATGTGTAAAAAACGCCCAGGGTCCAACTGTAAGAGAAATCATTTCAGTGTCATGGGGCTATCAAACTTTTTTTTTTTTTTTTTGGAGACAGAGTTTCGCTCTTGTTGCCCAAGCTGGAGTGCAATGGAGTGTAGTGATCTTGGCTCACTACAACCTCCGCCTCCCGGGTTCAAGTGATTCTCCCGCCTCAGTCTCCTGAGTAACTGGGATTACAGGCACGTGCCACCACACCCAGCTAATTTTTTGTATTTTTAGTAGAAACGAGATTTCACCCATGTTGGCCAGACTGATCCTGAACTCCTGAACTCAGGTGATCTGCCCGCCTCTGCCTCCCAAAATGCTGGGATTACAGGCTTGAGTCACCACACCTGGCCAAATAAACTTTTTATGCTCGCTATAACACTGAGAAGGTGAGCCATGTCTGCAACAGGGATGTCACTAACATACATTTTTCTTCTATGTAAAAAAGATCCCTGTTATTATTTAAAATTCACTAAGTCCAATGACATTGTTCATATTCTATATCTGTTCCAGTCTATGTATTGCCTTATCAGGGATCTGTCCTATATGGAAACAAACAATTCTGTCAGAGATTATTCAGGAGCATACACAGCATAACCATTAGCAAACTTGAAGCAGGAAAGCTCTTTTAATGCGCTTGCCCAGTGATGAATGGTTGCCAAAACTGTGTAATTCTCATTCTCTGTCAGTCACCTCAGTTATCAGGGGATCAGTGCAATGCTTCTCACTATGTGACAGCTATAATTACATGCCCTGTAACAATTTTCCTGCTAATTGTGCCCTGGAATAAAGAATCTTTCATTAGAGAATGTAATAAGGGAGTATGTCAGATACATAGCTAAGTGAAAGCAAACTGCTCTATAGGTAACTCAGTGAACTGTACACTGAAACCTCTGAACCAACAGAGAGGGGAAGAGGGGGGATTTCAGGAGACAAATCTAACAAAATGGTAAGTGAAAAACTCCAAAACTGAGCTTAAGGATAACAAGCCTTATGTAGAAAGTGAAAAGATGTGTTATGAGGAAAAGATTAGGGAATGCAGCTAGGAGAAGCAAGAGAACAGAAATATAATGGATAGTGTAATAAGGGAGTTGCTTAATAAATAGGTTATCATATGAAAGCTGTCTGTATTTTATAGTCTCACCAAGCAGCTTCTCACCCTCTTTTTTTAAAGACAGGGTCTTGCTCTGTCACCCAGGCTGGAGTACAGTGGCACAATCACGGCACACTGTAGTCTCAAACTCCCAGGCCCAAGCCGTGCTCCCATCTCAGGCTCCCAAGTAGCTGGGACTACAGGCGCATGCCACCACGCCCAGCTAATTTTTAATTTTTTTAATTTTTTGAAGACAGGGTCTTGCTATGTTGCCCAGGCTGCTCTCCAACTCCTGCACTCAAGTGATCCTCCTGCCTCGGCCTCCCAAAGTGCTGGGATTACAGGCGTGAGCCACCATGCCCAGCCTACCAAGCAGTTTTTTGAGTGCAGAAAATATAAGTTATCTCTGTACCATCCCTCCTCACACTTACACCCATTTTATGACATGATCCTAAACTCCATACATAAATTCTGTGTCTAACATTCCCACTGCACAGGTTGAGAGAGAGTATTGTACACATCACTTTTGTTTTTTTTTTTTTTTTGAGAGAGTCTCACTCTTGTCGCCCAGGCAGGGGTGCAATGGCATGATCTCCGCTCATTACAACCTCTGCCCCCAGGTTCAAGTGGTTCTCCTGCCTCACTAGCTGGGATTACAGGCACCCGCCACCACGCCTGGCTAATTTTTGTATTTTTAGTGGAGACTGGGTTTCACCATGTTAGTCACGCTGGTCTGGAACTCCTGACCTCAGGTGATCTGCCCACCTTAGCCTTCCAAAGTGCTGGGATTATGGGCGTAAGCCACCACTCCCGGCCAACACATAACATTTTAACTTGTATCTTTATCTCTAAATCTTTGATTTTTTCCTCTTTCATAGTCCTTCATCTTCCCAAAAATAGGCTTAACCTTCGCCTAATCTAAAAGCTTAGATGGAGCCAGGTGTGGTGGTCCACTCCTGTAGTCCCAGCTACTTGGGAGCTAAAGTGGAAAGACTGCTTGAGGGCAGGAGTTCCACATCAGCCAGGGCAGCAGTGAGATCCCGACAATAAAAAAATTTTAAAAAGCTTAGAAGGTTCCAGAATGATGTCAAAATAAGTCTCAAATTCCTTAGCATAACAATCTAGACCACTGTGATGACTTCAGCCTACCTTTGTAATTTCATTTATAACCATATGACCATGCTAAAACAAGTCACTTTTATGCCTCTATACTTCTGCTCATTCTACTTCAACTTCCCTCTCCCCATTTAAATCCTCCCATTCATCAAACCTCAACTCAAATGTCACATCCTCAGTGAAAATTTGCCAGACACCTCCAGTCAAAAGTAATTCTCTCTCCTTTCTGCTAATAGCACTCTTTGCATTGCACGGCAATTTTATTACATTGCCTTGAGTTGTACTCCTGCCTACTGTTAACTGAGTATCTATTAGATGTCAGGCAATACAGTATTATATATGTACTAGTTTTAAACCTAGAAATCCTAGAAGATAGGCAGAATATTATCAACCCTTTGTTATGATGGGGAAGACAAGGTTCAGGGAAGCTGAGTAATTTTGATTAAGGTCACAAAGTTTTAGGCGGTGAACTGGAATTCACATCCAAGTTTGTCTCTATTTAAAAAAAAATTGTATCATGTTATGTTATACATGTTTGTCTCCTAGGCTACATGCTTAGAAGAGAAGGGGTTAGATTTTATTCATTTTTGTATCTCCCTCTCTGAGTACTTAACACACTACAAAGTACTTAGCCCTTTGCCCTGGAATAAAGAATCTGAAACTGAAAACATGCAATGAGAGAGTACGTAGAGCATCCACGAAGTAAAGTAAATGCTCTATAGGAAACTCAGTGAAGTATACACAGAAACCTCTGAACCATTACTTGTAGATTTTAATATAAAGTAACTGTCAAGTACTAGAGTTGCTCCAGCTCTGTCTGAGAATGTATGACTGTAAATTACAGCAGAAGGAGCAATGCTTGGGAAATACCCAAATATCCAAATCATTCTCTACATTTCTCAGCCTCCCTTGAAGAAACGGGAGAGGTCATGTGATTCCTTTGGCTAAAGACCTATGAATGGAAATAACTTGTGTCATTGCGTCCTTTCTAGTCAGAGCCAATTAAGTGTGAGGTATAAATTATCTCTCCCTCCCCATCTTAAAAGCTACGTGTTGAGATGTATCCCAAGAAGGTAAACTTTTGTCCCTCCATCCAGACTTCAATCTTGCTTGCAAAGCCTTTTTGAAAGATAGGAACAGAAAAACAAAGCAAAACACATGCACACAACACAAACAATACCCTTTGTGTTAGGCCACTGAGAATACAATGTCAATTTTCCATGTTGCAAATAGCTTTTCCCATTTGTGGTTTACCTTTTCATTTTTTTTTGTTTTAAAGTGCAAGGATGATGCGAAAGGAATAACAAGGCTTATCTGTAGGATCCATAAGGTGAGTCCTGACTGACCTGAACACTGTGCATATTGCCTTTAGGTTCCTGGGTTCTTATTTTTAGATGGATTCATTGTATCTAGAGTGAAATGCTCTGGAAAACTTCATATGTAACAGGTTTTAGTAGAATAATTGTGCTGGAGTATTACCATGGGAGGAAGAATTAATATTTTTCCAGAAAACATAAGTAAGTTCGACTGTAATTATCTTTATCGACTTTATTTCTCTAGCCAACTAGAGAATGGTTATCATCCCTTAATGAAGTATTTAAAAGAAAAACAAGTTGCCAATTACAGCTTTAGCATCTAGATAGAAATAAAAAATAAAATTGTACATGAAAAAGACCATTCTGCTGGTTTGCTTCATTTTTTCACCAAATAGTTGTTTCAGTACTTTGTTTTTTTTGTTTGTTTGTTTGTTTTTTTTTTTTGAGACAGAGTCTCACTGTGTCACCCAGGCTGGAGTGTGCAGTGGGCAATCTCAGCTCACTGTAACCTCCGCCTCCCGGGTTCAAGCATTTCTTCTGCCTCAGCCTCCCGAGTAGCTGGGACTACAGGTGCGTGCCACCATGCCAGCTAGTTTTTGTGTTTTTAGTAGAAACCATGTTTCATTGTATTAGCCGGCCTGGTCTCAAACCGCCTGACTTCGTGATCTGCCCACCTCGGCCTCCCAAAGTGCTGGGATTACAGGCATGAGCCACTGTGCCCAGCCTTCAATACCTTCTATATGGCAGGTACTCAGAATCTAAGATGCTTCATTTCACTAATAATAGTTATTATTTGCGGTATTATTATGTGCCAGGTAATACACTAAGTGCTTCAGTTTTTAATCCTCATGATCAACCCATGAACGAGATAATATCCTTGTTTCACAGATGTAGAAACTAAAGATGAGATTAAGCTAGGTAACTTACCTGAGAAAT